AGTGGCTGGGGACCCCTCACACTGCAGCTGGGCTGCCCCAGCCCTGGTCCCCTAAGCACTGTACATACTCAGGAACTAGAAWTGGAGTAAGAAAAAAACCATCTCACTTCTTCAAAGTTTTATTGTTCCTGAACATTTGAATTGTGAGCCCTGGTTTCCTCTCTCCCAGTAATACACACTATTGCAAAAAAAATTTGGAAGTAATGGAAGAAAGAAAAAATGCTTGAGCAAGTGCCAGTATGGCCCAGGCRAGAGGGATGTGAGCACTGTTTCAACACCCACTGCAATTCGACAGGCTTGAGAAATCCTGGTTGCTGGGAAGCAAAACACAAATTGTCCCTGCAAATGCTTTTACCAGGTCGCTCTGTCCTTTTCCTAATTCAAACTGCAATTATAGAGATGATAAAATGGAAAATAAATATCTATGCAGTAGCTGAGAAAAACCAATTAGTTTTGAACCGGTGAGAAATAATGCAGAACTCCTTGTGTCTTTAACAAACTGGCTCTCCATATATATTGTAATGTATCTTCATGACCTAAATATACTTAGGAAGAGCATGACAATGAAATGTATGTTGGAAGTGTAATAAAGGAACTAATGCAGTAAAGTCACTATATTTTATTAGCAGAAGAAAACAATTAAAATTATATTCAGGTAGTAATTTAGGAGCCAAATGTCATAGCTGTCTCTTTTGCTGCCGAAATATGTGTACTCTCTTCCTAACAGTCTCTTTCCCCAAGGAAAAATAAATGTATCTAAGAAATACTTGTTAGCAATACAATTACAGGCTTAATTCCCCAACCAACTTCAGACATCATAAAAACAAAACCAAGCAGAAGCCCTTTGCAATTGCAATGGAAAAGAGACAGAAAACCACTACGTGCTCAGAGAAAGATAATATATTTTTATAACAAAAGCTGACACAGTCTTTGACAATAACATTCGAGATGACATTAGCATTAGTTTTTCAACTGCACTGTCTTTTTCTTTTAAGCTGCAGCTTAGAATGAAAAATTTCTTCTAAGGTTAGACAATGCTACTCCTGGACAGCACTTTTGGGACACTCAGACAGCAAAGTAGTTTGCCAGACTCTCTGAAAAGCAAAGCAGCTTTGTATCAAAATAACATTCCTTGGCACTGTTTGCTTCTGAAGGTCTGGTCCCTCCAAGGAACTTAATGACAGCTGGGTTATTTGTATGATGTGGCTTCAACCATGAGACCTGACACACTGGGAAGCTAATTCAGAGCCCTTCTGAAATGCTGGCCCTAAGAAAATATCAAGATRAAAGTTTGAATAAAAGTGATACAAAGGACAAAAAAATGCTAAAACTTGCTTTTCCTTTTTGTTCCCCCACCACACAAATTACACCCATATTCATCTCACAGCTTGGAGAAAGAAAACCTTCAGGAGGCCTTGCACAGTCCATGGGGAGTTTGTAGCTGTGCAAGGCTTGTCTTTGTGGTGTCCTTCAGGATTCCCATGCTGAGGTCCAGGTTCAKCCCTGTCTCCTCATCCATTTACCAATGTGCTCCATGCCCAGCCTGGACACCCTGGGCTCTCTCACTATCCATAGCAAGCTCTTGAGCTCCTCCAGAGATACCTGTCTTGGGAGGGGCTGCCTCATACCATTGGCTTCACCAGGAGAAACTCTGGACACCTCCCCACGTGAGGAGCAGATGTCTGATACTCCTKACCTGAGGCTCCAGGCTCTGTGGAACGGTTCCTGCTTGGTTGGATAACAGCTTATATTTTTATTTTTGGAAGAAGGGGTGTACACCATGGAATAGGACCATGCTATGTTCCTTCTAGTTCCCCACTCGCAAAGCAAACTTGAATTACTTTGACAAGGACCTCAAAAGTGTTTTCCTCCCCAATGACTTTGTACAATTTAAAATACCCATCTAAAACATTG